AAAAAAAAAAAAAAACAGCCTGCTATCAAAAGATGCAGGATACCCATTAAAATTAACGTGGCGTGGCCCAATAAATAAGCAAGGAGTTGGTTGGAGAGTGCAGGAATCGATTGCCCCCTAGCACTGCTCAAACAATTATGAAGGGTGGCCAGATTATTCTGAATTTCTACGCAACTAGCAAGGTCACTGCCATGCACGTGATGATAACAACTGTTAGCCTATAACCGAAATTTAGGGGTTGCAATAGTAACCTGGAAAAGAAACAAAGGAAAGAAAGTAAATGTAAAAAACGAACTCGTCTTTCGAACATCTAATTATCACATGGTAAAAGGAGTACCTCCAAATAAGTCAATGTCGTAAGAACATCAATGCTGACTTGGAGTGAGAATAATGGGGCTGGAAAATTGCACCCTTCTCCCGCTTGTAGTTTTATTGCGGCGACTGCAATTCACCTCCCAATTTCAAAAACGTGTAAAGTCTTTTGTTGTTTGCTTTCTTATAATTTTATGGTCATGTTTTGGTTGGATATAGTTATCATTCGGTTGAAAAATAAAGTTGTCTCCTTCCCTCTGTCACTTCCAAAGTCTTGGCTAGTGAGGGGAAAAGGCCAAAATTGATTCGTCAAATTCTTAATCAACTACCATTCTTCTTGCTAGTTTTTGAACATTGTTTAGAGTCCTATTAGTGTGACAATCCGCTTAAGGAGGTTGAATTTTCTAGCTTTTCTCTTCTCTCTTAACAATTCCTGTATTCCATCTCATTTCCTTCTTATCATAGCAAGATAACCATTGGAGGCAAGCTGATTACTATTCAATAAAAAATAAAAACAACCTATCAAACTTATGTTTTTACACAACATTTGAACGGCCAGATGTTTAATTTAAACAAACCAGATAGCATCACTTTTTAGGTTACAATTAATTAATTGCAACTTTTTGTTAGCTTAATATATAAAATACTACCTCTTTTTTTTAAAAAATAATTATCATTTTTTTATTTTAAATTTATCCTAAATGAATTATACTATCATTTTTTTGGGGGGCCAAGGTAATGTTGGATAGTGATTGCTGGAAGACATTTGAAAGATTTGAGGAATGGGATAAAGAGCCGTGTACCAGGGATTGCATTTGGAATGCTGTTGTTTGGACTGTGTGAATTGCTCGAAACCAAAAGATATTTCAGGATAAAGAGATCAATCCGAGGAAGCTATTTGAGCTTATACAACTGAGGTCTTATTTATGGATTAAAACAAGAAAGACAGGTATGCCTTTACTTTATCAGATTGGCTAATCAACCCTGTTGCATGTATGAAAAATAGCTATGGAGGAAGGAAGAATACCAAGGGAGTGGTGGGAACGACAGGATTGATTTTGTGAAGGGTGTTTGAATAGTGTATAATGGGCTGAATACTCCTTGTACTCATTTTATTAATAAAAGTTTGATTTTCCGTTCAAAAAAGAAAAATTATACTATCATTTTTTAAAATATTTTTTTAAATTAAACACCTAACTTGGTCCCTCAATTAGTAAACGAATGCTTGAGTTAGTCCCTAAACTAAAAAAACACCTGATTTAGTCCCTAAAATTTCTAAATTTAGCTTCAAGTTGTTGCCTCTGATAAAAAACAGTTGAGGTGTCTTGTTACAACTTTGACACGTGATCATTAAGTATTGGCCTTTTGTTGTCATGTGGTGGACACATTAGCTGTTTTTTAATGAAGAGATCAACTTAAAGTTAAATTTGTGAGCTTTAAATTAAATCCGGGATTTTTTTAGTTTAAAAACTAATTTAGAGGTTCATACAATAGTTGAGGAACCAAATTAAGGGTTTAACCCATTTTTTAAGGTAGAAAATTATTTTTTCCAACTTTAATCCTATCTTTGTCTGTTTATTTTAATTATTTATCATATCAAAAAGAAGTCTTATTGTATTTTATTTCTTTAAGAGGGATATAAATAAACACATTAATTATTCTAAATTATAATTTAAAGACAATTAAAAAATAAGAATCATAACAAAAATATCTATTAACCGTGGAAAAAGTTTATCCGGCCAGAATGGGAAAATATGGAACCACTGTGGGCGAGCCTTTTATTTAATTATAATAATTTAACAGGGCTTTTTATTTAATTAAGCAATTGAATTAATACCTAGTTTTGAGAATGTTTGGCATTTAAACTTAGTTATTGAGAAAATTGTTAAAAAGATATTGTACAAAAAGTTAATATTATTTTATTTTAAAATAAATTTTTTTATTTTTTTTTAAAATTAAAGGTTTAAAGATAATTTATGTATTTATCTATACTACTTTTAGAATTAGATTAAAAGATAAATTAAAATTTTTTAATAAGATAATTAATTAAAATTTTTTAATAGGAAAATTAATTAAAATAAATAGATGGTGATAGGGTTTAAGCAGAAAAAAATATTTATTTACCCTAAAAAAGAAAAAATGACAATTAATTTAGTACAAACTCAAAATCAAATAATAATAGTAATTTTGGGAAAGTTGGAGTAAGTTTTATTATGAAATTTTGTTAAAATTTTGTTAAATTATTAACTTTTTGTATTTGGTAAGAAAATAACATAAGAAAAGTTGATTGAAAAGTTATCAAGTGTATCAAATATAGAGAAAGTTGGAGATAATTTTTTTACCTTAAAAAGTATGAGAAGAAAAGTTTATTGACTGAAAAAAGCTAGAAAAAACCTTTTTTCTTTCAAAAATAAAAATTAAAATGTCATTTTTATTTTTCTTTCATCATATTATTAAAATATAAAAATACATAAATAACTTTGTAAAACTAAAAATTAAGCGAAAAGTTCCCTCCAACCAAACACACGCTGCACCTATGAGGGCCATGAAGCCTAGTATTGTTCATTGAATAGGATCCAATTTCAAACGATTCGTGTATATTTTAATTTATCTATGATAATAATTTATTGGTAATATTTATTAATAATAATTCTCACAAAAATCAATATTTTTACCTATAAAAACTTTTTTCATTTTCAAC